ACAACCCTTTAACGTCATTTACCCTTTTTTGATTGACAAAATAATTTTTCCGTTTAAACATATTTATTTAAGCTCGATTGCGAAACAACTTGTACCATCTTTTTATCACTTTCAAGTCTGCTCCAACCAGTACTGGTGTCAAATGAAGAAACATGGTCGTGACCTGACTAGGGCTCGAACACATGATCCATGGTTTGACAGGCAGACACCTTAACCACTAAGCTCCCCGATACAAAATAACTTTCCAAAGGCATTCAGATATGTAGCTCTCGACTATTAAAAAACAACAACCCCAAAACCTATGAAAGTCTGCTTCTGCTGAAGTATTCAATTCAAAACTATATTCAATATCTCAAGTGTAATTTCTTATTTTATTTATTTTTAACGACAATTTTAATGTTTTTTGACCTCATTTTTAAAATGATATCAAAAGGTCATTTTCTCATGCCAGCGGTCACACTATTTCAAACAATTTCATCTTTTTTGACTAATGGTTACATTCTCATCAAATTCTCCTAATGTCATTTATCTAAATTTCAATATTCATCAAAGTTTGACTTAATCACAGTTCTATAAAGTACTGGAACAACATAAAGCTCTGTTTAAAAAAACAACAACATAAACTATAAACTAAAAATTAAAACCTTATAAATAACTCCAACAGAGGAAAAGTTAATTATGAAAATGAATCTGAAATTTTGCAAATACATGTACATGAATTAAACTAAAACTAAATGGAATACTCTTCTATAAGCTTAGGAATAGGGCCTGGAATTGTAGAAAAGAATTCAATACTTTATCAAACAATTATCATATATTGTGAAAACTATAGTGTGCTGCTGGCAATGCTAAAAGAGGGTTGTAGGGGTGCCTGAGTGTAATACAGTCAGTCATACACTGATGAAAAAATATACAAGCATTAAACATTGAGAAAAAAAAAATCAATCTTTTGTTACAGAGATTATCTGTTTAAAATAATCACATCCTTATAAAGGAGATAACGAGAGAATTTCAAGTTTTTGTACAGGCTTACCAAATTAAATACACAAGCAAAACTTTCAAAACTGTTTTGAACAAAACAAACTCCTAAATACTAAAACATGATCTTACAAAAGCCTTTAAGAATTTATATTATACAGATATTAGAGGTCTTTTAACACGGAAATATTTTATCATATAGGTAAGTGGCTAATAGCAAACAATTTGCCCCTTATTCAGTGCATGCAATCTGAAAACTTAAAAATACCAAAAGCTTAACTGAACAGCACACAATTACTGGATATGTCCAAATACCTTAAATCTACTAACCAACACAAGGTGGTTTGTGATTTTTATCCAGATTTTTATACTTCTCAACAAGATTTTTATACTTCACAACAGCAGGTGCTGTATGGCAGCTGTAAAAAGTTGCCCTGTACTTCTTATTAGTGTAATTATTCTGATCCTTTTGAATCATTGATTCCAACACTTTAAGTGTTGAAAATTGAGTACCATTCAAGCCAGTGCTAGGGGCATGAGGGATGTTGCACTTTTTCCTTATCCCTCATGTACAGACACAATCAAACCAAGTCCCCAACTTTCTTTCAATTTTGGTGACTTCATTGCTTCTGAGGGATTACAGCTGCATAAGGTTTTTTCCCTACTGTGAAATTTTCATATTATTGTGTTGTGATTAATGCTGCCTAGGGATCACACTCTTAATCCAGATTTTGGTATTTTTTTATTTTTTACCAAGTGAATATCTAAAATGAACTTGTCAATCTACCCTTCTTTTTTCCCAAAAACAGATTCAAACCACCTTGAGTGGGTAAGTAGCTATAACTGGTCTAGTACAACTAATCTTTACTTTACTAGCTTTCTATATGAAATAGAAATTGTTCTGTTTAATATGTGTACAATACAGTTCATTCAGAAACTGCATATGAAAAAAAATCCTCATAGTAACTGAGCAACTAATTTTAAAGCAATTAACAAGCTGAATTTATATAATGGACTTGTCCATCTTTCATTCTTGGAACTGTCCAGTGTCAATTTTGGGGATATCAAGAGTTAAACTTAATATATATATATATATTATGTCAGCCCACAGTATAGAGCCTGGTCAGACTGCACAGTGGTGAAGGCTGGACTGAATCTGTACTGGTGGTGAATGCACATCACTTTCACTTCCAGCAGGGTTCAGGTTACACCGTGTTGACAAACATGCAATATACATTATAAAATAAATTTCTAACCAACCAAGACAATATGTATATTCTTGACTTTTCCACCAATATAACAAGTTAACCTAAAGCATTAAAATGAAAATAAAAACTTGCAAAAAAAGAAGATATGTATTATAATGTACACCTACAGTTGGAGTAAAAACTTAAGAAGCTTGGTATGTGACAATTCCTATCAAAACTGTGAACAAAAGAATTTGAGCATTTGTTGCATAGATTCCAACAATCAGACAATTAAAGACAAAAAGTGGACCTATGCAATATTTTAAGAACTTAATAAATTACCATATATTCTTTAACAAACTCTCCAATAGGTCCAAGGTGGCAAAATTGGAATATTTACTGACGTTTCAGCTTTACTGGTGGAGAAAGACCTCAGGCCTTGGATTCATAATAAACTGTAAACATCTTGGTTAACTCAAGTTTTCTTTTACATTGTCACAAGGCTTTTACTATGTTTAAACGGACTGGTGCCATAATTAGGAAAGGGGCGTTTATTAAAGAATATACAGTTTCAGTATACATATGAAAACAGAATAAAAATTCCCTAACAATTTTTTTAAGAAAGATAGGCTGGTTCTATACTGGTGTAAAAACGATAATCCTTTTTGATTCCCAGCAGGCAATGAGTTAATATAATATTTGCATGAAAAATAACTTCACTGTACATATCTAAAAGCAACCAACGAGAGTATAAAATAGTAATTATTACAAACTCCATAATTATAACATTTTGCCCTAACTATTCTAATAAGGTGTTTACAAAATTCAATCAATATCAGTATACAAATGGTGTCATTTTCCGACACCAAATACCTTCTAATAATCATAAATAGCATTTTCTTTACTGTGTAGACAACATAGAAAGTTTTAAACGATATATCTCTCAGACTTGCAAGTAAAATATATAAAACCCCTCAACATTTTACTTGTACACGTATATGATAACAACATTTCCATGAGAAACTCATTCCTAAGTAACATAGAAATTTGAATCCATCAATTCTGAATTAAAAAAGAAATCTTTGTAATTCATATAAAGTGCATTAAAAATTAAACGAAATAAAATCACCTTTTGATAATGAGTTAATAATAAATAGTTGAAAAACTCCACAGTTCAAATAACATTTGTATAGAAATCATTTACATAATATTTTCTAAGGTGGTGCAACAAAAAATTGAAATTTCCTCACCTAAATGTCGGGGCAAAAAAAATGTTCTACAGAAATTTTAGAAAATTAACGTAAACTTGATTTCTAAAAGAAAATTCAATTTTGCGCATGTCACTAAGGGTTCAGAGCAAAATTTTTTCAATTTAAAACTAACCAGCTTCTGTCCCGGGGCCCTAATCTCATGCCTAAAGGAGGGACCCTTTTTTAGCATAGAATCATACACAACAGCTATGATCTTAACAGTTCAACACTCAAGTTTTTTTTAATATGATTAAAGTTGTTTTTTTTTAATAAAAATATTTCTTTTCAGGGTGCTAAATACAGTGCAACTTCTGCAGTGTTACCCTCTGTAGAACCATCACTTCTTTACAACAACAGTTTCAATAATTCCCAAAGAAAGACTTGCCAATACATTTAACTTCTATGGAGCAACATCTTTAGGCAATAACCAAAACTTTTTGCCTCCTGAAGGTGTTACTCTGTTAGGGTTGTACTGTATTTAAAGAATGAGTTAATCTATTAAGAAGCTAATGCCCTCATATCTATATAATAAGTGTTATTAGATTTCCAGTTTATCTTGCATTTTAATATTGGTCGAGTATGCTTGAAGTTAGAAAAGATTTGTTTCATTACTATTTCTTGGTGAAATAATGTCATGTTTTATATAAGAAAGGCATGTTACAGGAAAATAATGATAAGAAACTTTATAAAAATGTGCAAAATATAAAAATATCAGCTCCAAATTATTTCATTAAGTGTTGTATTCCATCCAATCAACTTAGAGCAGTGTTTGTAGTGGTGTAGCTATAACATAAGTGCATTTTCTCAGTGATTTTCCTGCTTATATAACAGACTCCGATAAAAGGCCTCTTCCCAATGGAATTTTTTTTTAAAATCATGCAGTTTTCCCAAAAATCTGAACTTAAACCTGCTTTTTTTACTTCCTAAATAAGCAATTTCAGCGATATTTTTTAACAAAATCAAACAAGAGGGCCATGATGGCCCAAAGTCGCTCACCTGTATATAGGCCCCCCGGAGCGGGGCCAGTTTAAACCCCAGGGCTTTTATTTGAACAAACTTGGTTGACACCCATTAGAAGATGTTTCATGCTAAACATCTAAGGTCTAGCTTATTGGGTTTTCTAAAAGAAGATTTTTTATATATATATCTATCTATATATATATATATATATATATATATATATATATATATAATATAATATATATAATTGCCGTATACATATTAAACGTAAATAAATATCCGTATCGCTTCGCCTATTCAGCATATTTCACATATATATATATATGAAATAAATGTATGCTAAGAAGGCCGCAAGGCCGAAAGCTACGGCAAATATAATTTATATTATTTGCTATATATATATATATATATATATATATATACATACATATATATATATATATATACATACATATATATATAGATATATATATACAATATAGATACATACATATTACATATATATATATATGTAATCTGTATGTGGTATATATATATATATATATATATATATATATATATATATATATATATATATATATATATATATATATATATTATATTTATAATATGTATATATCTAAAAAAAAAGTCGAGCTAATGAATGACCCCAAGGGCCAATTTTGACCCCAGGGCTCTTATTTGAACGAACATGGTAGACATTCATTAGAACATGTTTCATGCTAAATATCTTAGCTCTAGCCCTTTGGGTTCTTTCAAAGAAAGTTTTTACTATATGCATATAGGGAAAATCAATGACCCCCTGGGGCGGGGCCAATTTTGACCCCAGGGCTTTTATTTGAACAAACTTGGTAGACACCCATTAGAAGATGTTTTATGCTTAATATCTTAGCTCTAGCTCTTTGGGTTCTTTAAAAGAAGATTTTTTTAAGTTTTTACTATATACATATAGGGAAAATCAATGACCCCCAGGGCGGGGCCGATTTTAATTCTAGGAACAAAATTTGAACAACTTTGGTTTTGGATCTATAGATGATACCATAGACAAAATATCAAAGCTCTAGGCCATTTACTTTCAGACCATAAGATTTTTCAAGTTTTCACTATATGTATATAATGAAAATCAATGACCCCCGAGGGCGGGGCCAATTTTGACCCGAGGGCCACTATTTGAACAATCTTGGTAGAGGTCTACCACACAATGTTTCATGCCAAATATCTTACCTGTAGCCTTTGCCAATTCAGAGAAGAAGATTTTTTTATGTTTTACTATATACATATTTAGAAACCTATGACCCCCCGGGGCGGGGCCAATTTTGACACTAGGGACAAAATTTGTACAACTTTGGTATTGGACCTTCAGATGATACCATAGACCAAATATCAAAGCTCTAGGCCATTTACTTTCAGACCAGAAGATTTTTCAAGTTTGCACTATATGTATGTAATGAAAATCAATGAACCCCCGGGGTGGGACCAATTTTGACCCTAGGGCCATTATTTGAACAATCTTGATAGAGGTCTACTACACAATGTTTCATGCCAAATATCTAATCTGTAGCCTTTGCCAAATCAGAGAAGAAGATTTTTTTAGATTTTACTAAATACATATAAGGAAAAACCTATGACCCCCAGGGCGGGGCCAATTTTGACACTAGGGACAAAATTTGAACAACTTTGGTAGATGACCCATAGATGATACCATATACCAAATATCAAAGCTCTAGGCCATTTACTTTCAGACCAGAAGATTTTTCAAGTTTTCACTATATGTATGTAATGAAAATCAATGACCCCCAGGGCGGGGCCAATTTTGACCCTAGGGCCATTATTTGAACAATCTTGATAGAGGTCTACTACACAATGTTTCATGCCAAATATCTAATCTGTAGCCTTTGCCAAATCAGAGAAGAAGATTTTTTTAGATTTACCTATAGACATATAAGGAAAAACCTATGACCCCCCGGGGCGGGGCCAATTTTGACACTAGGGACAAAATTTGAACAACTTTGGTAGAGGACCCATAGATGATACCATATACCAAAAATCAAAGCTCTGGCCCATGTACTTTCAGACAAGAAGATTTTTTAATTTTGTGTTTTTTGAAATCCTTTTTTGGCCCTGTGACCTACATATGCAACAGACCGGAACCATTTGAACAACTTTGAAAGGGGACCACCCAAGGATCATTTCTGCAAAGTTTGGTTGATGTGCAGTCATTGGTTTCAGAGGAGATGTTGTTTATGTGAAAAGTTGACGACGCACGACGCACGACGACGGACGACGGACACAGGGTGATCACAATAGCTCACCCTGAGCATTGCTCAGGTGAGCTAAAAATCAAGAGGCTGGGGCCTCTCCCAAAATAAGTGAGAAAATCACTGCTTATGAAACAGTTCTGTTATTTCAGGTCTTGTAACTAACATTACATCTGTCATTCCTAGAGATAGTAGATAAAGACCTTCTATATTAACTATTGATATAACACTTCGAGTTCAACAACGTCTATACAACATGGGAGACAACTTCTGTATAACAGGGGCAATAACTTCTGTATAACAGGGAGCGAACAATTTCTGTACAACCAACCTAGTTAATTTTGACGGAGGTATTTGATCCTGAAATGTTGCACTGTGTAGCTTAATCAACGAGTTCCGGCCCCTCAATTTCCGGTACGGACCGGTCAGTATTTTGAATACATTTCGACTTTGGTTATAGAGCCTGGCACCCATCATACTGGTTGTTTTAAAGCTTGTTTAACATTTACACCTTGTGACACGTATACATGTTCATTTTCCTTAGAAGCGGAGTTTATCTTAGAATGTATAAAAACACAACATAATGTTGACTATCACATGAAGAAGTTCGCTATTCCTGTCCGAAACCTTCGGTTTCTTCAATAGCAAGAGTCAGTTTCTCACAGAGCTGTTCGTAACTTCGGTACGGCGGTAAGTCTATTCTGTTAAAACATGTATGACTGCGTGGTAGCCACGTCTCCTTGCCAACTTTCTCTATACAGAATCTTTGTGGGCCGTTGCTCCCTAAATATAGAACATTACTGAGTGTTTAAAACTTATTTCATGTATTAATATGATATATTACTTAATTTTTTAATTATATATTTGTTGCATTTTTGTGTATTTTCTATACAAATGTAAATATATGTGACAACATAGTATGTGTTTATGTGTATTTCCCTGAATAAATTAATATGATATAATGAAAAGGTTCAATATATCTGAGTAAATTTTGAAGTAATCTTAATTAAAAGCCTTTCACACAACAAAAATCTATTGATTTTTAAAACACAAGGAACGATGCAAGGACATGCTGGCAAGAATATTTATTGATCATTTTATAATTTCAGGAAGTTAAATTTAGTATGCAGTATTAAAAAGATAATATACCCATGAGTTCAGCAAAACCTCCCACTGGTAGACGACATGTTCCTGTCACAAACTGTAACAATCTCGTCCTCTTCTCATTCTCCAACTCACGTACCATCTGATAACATAGGAATGTCATTGATATAACAATTATAATTGAAGGTTAACAATTACCCCACATAACATCTGATGAATTAGAAATTTAATTTTTATTTTGTAGATTGAAAATTTTTTATCGTAATTGTTTAACTCTATCAAAGGAAGCAGCCATACTAGCAATCCAATGCTATCATATTAAAAATCTGACAGAAAAATAATAATGACATTGAACATCTTGGTCTCTGGCATTTCACAATTAAATTTTTTATTTAATATAAAAAAGCATATAAGAAATGTAATTATACTAATATATAGAAAATATTTAAGTTTTTTCTAAAAATACAAGATTTATTTTCATTAATGTGTTATGAATTTAAATATTCCATGAATGAAATATTTTCATACCACAGAATGAAAATAAATCCTGTATTTATAGGAAAAAAACTTAAATTTTCCGTTCATTATATACTTAAATAATAAATGAAATATTGAAAAGAGTAATTGACCTTCCAGAACCAAACAACTTGTTTGCTATTCCTTTGGTAATGCCTATAGATGGTGTTTCTCTCCCAGTCATCCACATCCACCTCTTGCATACCACACAACATTAACTGTAATCATAAAATAACTACATCATTATAAACACTGCACAAATAGCAAAATAATAGTATTTGGCAAATGATCTCTTAACAAAAATTGAAAGCTCTGTAAACGAAATCCTTAAGGACACAAGACTTCATGAAAATTTAGGACACTTAGGACTGATAATATACAAAATATTTTTTGTGCTATTTTGTAGGATTCCAATAAAATGTTTTTTTAAATCTGGTTTTTTTATGTTAAAGCCCATTTAGCCTTGAAAATGCATTTTTTTTTAATTTCTATTTCTTTTCTTTTTTAATTTTGGTTGGGTTTTACGTCACACCAACGCAATATTTTCATTTTTCATAAGCTTTATTTTTTTGAGTCCTGTTACAGTCTGTGAATGATTTCTCACTAGCCATATAGATCAGCCATCTTTTGCTTTTTTTTGTGTGTTTGTAATTCAGACACTAAAGTTATTGTGATTTGGTTATTTGGTATGAGAGTCAAAATTCTACTTTGTTTACATTTTGCTTTCATTTTCATGAATTATTTCACATTCTGCCCTGTTCTTCCCCTTCAAATGATAATGATCTTAAATGCTCTAAATATAGTATTACAACAATATAAATCATATGTTTGCACTTTCTACAGAAAGCAAACACTTACTCATTTTTAAGGTTTAATGTGCCTTTAAAGTAATACAATTTTTAAAGAAGAAAATTCAGAACTGACCTCAATTTCTCTTTCATCAAAGTACTGCAGCCACTGCAGTGGTACAACTTCACTAAAACCATCAAGGAAAGCTTTTGTCTGTTCTTCTACACCTCGTGTAAACCTCCAATTTGTCATCAAACTAAAAAACGTAATTCAAAAAACATTAGCCTTAGTAAAATACATTCAGAATGTATCAAATTATCAAATACAGTAAAGACTGTCTTAGCGACCCCCTGTATATAGCGACGTTCTGTCTTTAGTGACCATAGTTAGGTGCGCCGAACAGTATTTACTATATAAATGGTCTGTATGTAGCGACTCCCTGTCTAGTCCGTACAACGACCATGATTTAGTCACCCGTTACGGTATTTGAGCCGTGAACAGCGACTTTTGCAAGGGGAGCAACGACTTTGGCTTCAAAGAGATTTTGAAGTCGCCCGATTTTTATAATTTTCTGTCATACTTATTTACGCCGCTAGGTCTGTTAATAATTTGTTTACCTCTCAATTAACCAATTACCGTTAATCCGCTAATTAAGAACGCGTGTCAACATCAATAATGTTCAATACACGCCGCAAGGCAAGAGTTCACTATGTTTATCTTTCTCATTACGTATGATTGACGAATCAGAACGCGCGTTGTATCTACGGCAGTTTGCATTGACCAATTGGCGACACGCTAATACACTATGACTGTTTGTTGACAATTACACAAAATGGCGACAGATTCAATCAATTTTCGCCGATAAAATGATCAAAGACACCTGCATTATACATAATTGCTGCGGTGTTTTAGCGAGTAAAGATAAACGATGCCAAACGTCTTAAAGGTGTGGTTATGTTTGAAACCTCGATTGTTAATTTTTTTCGGAGCACTTATCTGTAGAAATTATGTGGAGATTTGTATCTAATGTTTTTTTAATACATTGAACTCCGTAAAATAAACAGGCTGATTATACAAAATCTCATTAGCAAAATTGAAATTAAACATTTTCTACAATCAGATTTATCAATATAAATAACATTTTAATGAATATGTAACTTTTAAATACTAATGTTATGGTGTAGTTTATAATCTTAACCAATTATACATGCAATTTTAATACTCTCTTGTTTTTTATAAATGATTTTTGATATCTTTAATATAATAAAAATAAAATTAAACCCTTAGTATGGTACTATCCTGCTGTTCAACAAAATATTGGTATGATGTGTTCATATATCCGAATTATGTAGAGACTGTCCACAGTGACTCCCTGTCTATAACGACCTTTTTTCTGTTCTCCCATCGAAGGTCACTGTAAACAGTCTTTACTGTATATTATATTTCCGTAAACAAGACAAAATATATATTTAAGATGGAAATCTATTTCATAGAAAACACCGTCCAGTTAGCTCAATAGGTAAGAGAATTGGACTGCAAATCAGGTGATCTGGGTTAAAGTCACTTTCGTTGTGATTGATCATGAAATCTTTTCCATGGTCATTAGCACTGTACCTCTGCTCTGGCATTGGCATGTACAGAAGTTATCAGTTACTTGCGAAAGTGAAGGCAACTAGTACTGGTAAACTGCTTGACAGCCTGCCCAGGAAAGATGTGGTGGCTGAACTGTGCTCTGGTAAATTCAATGTGGTTTACTGCCGTGATCAGAAGTGAAAACTACCAACAATAGCACATATTTCTTAGATGACGGTCCTTCACAGATATACCAAGTATTATCACCAATCTGATACGGATTTATTTCAGCAACCAGACGTATCAGATATGCAACCAAAAAGAAAGAGCAAGTATCCTATGATTCAATTTCAGTTCTCATACAAAGCTTCATGAATACATTAAATACTGCCTGCATACCTTTAATCACAAAAATTGCAAACATTTTTCTACACTTTACTTCATATTACTGTAACACATCTATTTAACAAGAGCTGTCACAGGAGACAGCCAAGCTCGACTAATAAAATACTGGACGCAGTAAGCAGGACAAAACTATGAAAGAAAAACCAATTATGTATCATTATGTATTAAGTTATAGTAAAAAAAATATCATTTGTTAACATAAACTCCAAGATCAAGGGGAATAATTCTAGAAATAGTCATGCTAGAGTTATGAACCTTGTCACACAACCTGTGTGTAATGATAAGAAATATATATTTGAAGTTTGAAGTAGATACCTTAAAAAGTAAAGAAGTAATAATATTTCTTAAAGAAAATCCTAAGTTCAAAGAAAGATAAATCTGTAAATATTGCTTCAAGAGTTACGAACATTGTCACATAAAATGTAATTGATGATAAGGAATAAGTTTTTGAAGTTTGAGGTAGATACCTTTTAAAACTAAAAAAGTTATAGTAAAAAATAACATTTTTCTAGTAAAAAAATCTAAGTTTATGGGGAGATAATTCTTGTAATATTGGTGCTAGAGTTATGAACCTTGTCACATAAGATGTGGATGATGATAAGGTACATATATTTGAAGTATGAAGTTGATCCCTTTAGAAATAAATAAGTAACATTAAAAAATAATATTTTTAAGGAAAATTTTAAGTTCAAGGGGAGATAAATCTGAAAAATATTGGTGCTAGAGTTATGAATCTTGTCACATAAGATGGGGATGATGATAAGGTATATATATTTGAAGTATGATGTTGATCCCTTAAGAAACAAAGTAGTAAAAGAAAAAAAAAGTATTTTTTGAGGAAAATTCTAAGTTCCAGGGGAGATAAATCTAAAAATATTGGTGCTAGAGTTATGAACCTTATCACATAAGATGTGGTTGATGATAAGGAACATATATTTGAAGTTTGAAGTTGATACCTTAAGGAAATTCTAAGAAAAATATTGTGCTAGAGTATGAACCTGACAAAGTATAAGGAACATATAGTGAAAAATATTGACAAAGTTATAGTGAAAAATATTTTATTGCACCAAAACTTTAATCTGAAATCTGGACGCGGACGCCGGGGCGAGTAGGACAGCTCTCCATATACTTCGTATAGTCGAGCTAAAAATAACAGAATTGCTTGAAAAAATGAAAACTTCAAAATTTCTAGAATACACATACATTTAAACATTTATTTATTCACTTACTTGATATACTCCTCTTTGTTTTCATTTGTGACATTAATGTCTGCACCACCTTCCTTCAACTCGTGCTGTGAAATCTTACCAAGGACCTCAAAATCTGCCGAGAAAGTCAACTCTAGCCCGCATTCTTCTATATCATTATCTCTGTGAATGATTAAATCAAATGAGCCGTGTCACAACAAAACCAACACAATGGGTTTGCGACCAGCATGGATCCAGACCAGCCTGGGCATCCGCGCATAATAAGTCCAACTCTATTACAAGTTGAGAAACTGATAGCGTACAGCATGGATCCTGATCAGACTGCGCAGATGCGCAGGCTGGTCTGGATCCATGCTGGTCGCAAACGCACTATGTTGGTTTTGTCGTGACACGGCTCAAATTGTTTAGACTATGTTGTACATAATAAGAATATTTTCCTATTCAGTCCATACATATTTTGAAATTTTCCCTAATAACAATGAAGCTGAATGCACTTGTCCAATTTGAAAGATGAACATGTACATTTTAATTCATTTCATAATTCAATTGGCAAAAAAAACACAAACTGCTGCCAATGTTATGACTATAAAACTAAACACTATTCTATGATAAAAATGACTCACTTGATCCAGTTTAATGAGTTATAAAATTCTGTATCAATAGATTCCAGATCCTTCAAGATCAACTTCTTGTTCAGCATCCGTTTATAGAACGGCAATGTGAAACCGCTGTCAATAAATTTACCATGGTACAAAGCCTGAATATCAAAAAACAAACAAACAAATATAAATAATTTATCTCATAAACCACAGCGCAGGAGTGTAATAAAGCCATTTATTAAAAACAATATTATTCTAGTGATATAACACTGACGTGACATAATTCGTGTTATATACAAACATAGTGTTTTAATTGTAAACCGTTCTTATTTGGCATATGTGATAAATAGAATATTATACTCCTATAGATTCAATACTAAAGTTATTGAACTTTATAAATAAAACAATATCATATCATCAGAGCCTGGCATAATAATTATGATTTTATTCAACTTGTTCAATAAATTTATATTTAACCTACACTTATTCAATATCCTTTATTTACCAAATGTACAATATCCAAATGCTGTTTTAATCATTTAAACTTTATTTCTTTAATTAAATTCACCTAAGTCTCCACTTTAAAAAAATAATAACAAACAGTAGACATTAGAAAATCTAATAGGCAAATGGTTAGGCCATCCTTAAAAAAATGTTTGTTTGCAGTAACGCGACCGACTCACAAAATTTGCCCCTACTCAAAATTTTTTTTCATTGTCTGGATTTTTTTTTGAATCAGAAAATTATGCCTTGTGCTTTGTTTTTAAAAAAAAATCGACCTACCTACCCACCTTGAAAATTCTGGGTCGGGTTACTGCAAACAAACATTTTTTTAAGGATGGCCTTAGCATTTACTTTATTTAAAACTTGCATCTCTTTCATTGAGATAAAAAGAAAGGTAAATGTATAAAATCTGCTGCTACCTAGAAATAAATCATTTAATCTTATTACAGGCAAGTTCCTTATTATATAAGAAACTTGCATCTTTGTTTTAACAAATGTGAAGAGAAGACTATTATAAAAATACATATACTTCACAAAACTTCATAGCAATCCATTTCAAGTATGCAGGAGGAAAAAAATTCATTATTGCATGTGAAAGTATGTCAAATCAATATCTCCGTAATTCTAATGTCTGCTTAAATGACCTTAATACAAAACCATCAAGAATGAGGAATAAACCTTATTCTTTAAACAATTAGTCTAAAGTACTTATAAGTTTCATGTTCTGTCTAGTGCATTAAATGGTTACCATAGCAATAAATCTGCCAATAAATCTGAAGTATACGAGATGGTCTGGATTGACGCTTGAGGCAGCATTTATCTGTAAACTGTAGTTACTGTTGCTTGCATATTCAAACAGACAATACATCGGGTTTAACACATCGTGGGACAGGTGGAAAAACCATTCTCTGAAATAACAAACATGGGAAAAAAAATGTGAAACATCTAAATAGTTTTGAATTATTTTTTCATAAATACATGGACATTATAGCAAAAATTTACAAGGTTTCTTTAGGACAGATTTTTTTTACAAGCAGAAGTGATCAATATTCGATGGTATGTTATAAAAGTTGATCGTAACTTTGTAAGAAAAGTGTTGACATAAAACCTGAGGACTCTTGCCTCTCACCTCAAGGTTTTTTCAGGCAATCTTTACTTATTCACAGTTAATGATTGCTTTCAAGTCTGTTTCATTTGTTTGTTTGTTTCATTTTACGCCTTTTCCCAAAAGTATTTCAGTCATATAGGTGGGTAGTTTTAAAACCCCTCATTTCCCGGAATTACAAAACCCGTATAGACATCTTCCTCTGTGTAAAAAACCAGCTCATCTCCCGGGGATCAAACCAATGCCAGACAGGTAACTGGATTAGACGTCATTGACTCCAACCCCTCGACCACGGAGGCGGTTTAAGTCTGTTTCACAATTGAGTGAAAAAATGAAATATTCAAAACTAGCTTGAAATTTATGTCAAATCACTATAACTGTACAATTTTAATAAAGTTGACCAATCAATCAACACAGATTAAGTTTAAAGGTAAGTTTATTCATATAAACTGTTGTTTCTACTCTCATGAGTCTTCATCAGGGTTTGAAAATATCTATCAAATTAGTTCAAACACCTTGGTCTTGAAAATGTATACAAGATTATAATAACAAGATACTCAAACTATTAACTGTTAGCAGAGTCATAGTGAATCTTACCTTGCTACTCCACCATAATCAAGACCTTCTTCACCTTTGAAAATGATATACAATCTCCGTCGTAAATCAAATGGTTGTAATCGCATAATCTGCAAATACATTTTGAAAAAGTTTTATTATAAATATTTTTATGTAGTTTTTTATGTTGTGTGTTAAAGTCACATCATAAATGCAAAGCTCATATGGTGCAACTTTTCAGCCTTGGTAACTTTCAAACTATAATGGTAACGGTCCAAGATATCAGGTGCCTCTGTATGCACTATTTTAAGCACAAACTGGCATTTACAGTTCACTTTCTGTACTGCTTTTTCAAAACAATGAATTTTAACTCCTGGTAGAATTCAAATTTGCATTAGTGAGTCACAGGTAATTTAAAATTTGAGTAAAAACCTTTCTGCCAAAAAGATCAAAGATGTAAACAGTCTTAATACAAAAGTGAAAATTCTTAATAATTTCCATTCATTTCATTGAATATCATATATATGGATTTCACCAAAATCAGTGACTGAAGTGTTAAATGATTTTCGAAGCGACCATTATTACTATACAGTGGTTAAAAACGAAATATTCTGCAAATAACATGGAGATATAGTTTTACAACTCTCGTTCAGCCTACGAAACAAGTCCTTGATAATTAACGAGCTGTAGAATCAGGTTTTATAAAACGTTTCAATAAAATTATCATACCTGAGCAAAGGAATCTTCAAAGAGGTTATCTCGGGATACAGTGACCTTCACATGACCTGGTAAGGCGTTGGATTGACAAAGGTAACGGAACTGACCTAGTTTCCATCGGAAACTACGTTCATACTGGATAGGCACACCATACGCTCCCTTTGGCCTAAAACAGAAAGAATATTATCTTATTACAGGAACAGTGTTCGAAATTAGCAGTAGTCCTATAGCCCCTGACAACTAAATTTCTCCTTGAGCTACCAAGTTTTCAAAGTAACAAGCCCGACCAGGCTACTGTATTTTCAGAACTCCAGTTTTGAAAAAGTGAATCATGCTAGTGAAATGTCTTTTGGGCTAGTGAATATTCCAGTCTAGTAGCCCGACCAGCCTAGTGGATTCAAATCCTAATTTCTTACACTGCAGGAACACCATAATTATCCTTGATTGGCCTAAAAGTCTTATTATAGTATTACATAGAGGATATTTGTTTGTCTTGCATGTAAGATTGAAATATATTTCACTGAGTGAACACCAGACGCAGTATTTTCCGAGTGGCGTAGCCACGGGTGAAAATATAATAGCTGGTGTTCACGAATGAAATATATTTCAATTTTATATGTAAAACAAATAAATTTTCTTTTTATTTCATGCTTTTTAACTGATTTTAAGTACTTCTTTACAAATTTTGCCGCGTAACGTCGCGCATTCTCCCTTGTGATGTCATCACATCATGACGTCACTATCAATTTTGAAATAAAGGTCTGTAACATTTCTCTAATTTTGTTACATTTTTTTTATGATGTATGATGACATCGACTTTCTTTTCCTAAAGAAGCAAAATTTACGCATGACGGCATTTATTTCTGCCCGTTATTCCATTTAGTTATGATTTTCTTTTCATCCGCATTCAGATATAGTCCGGCTACTGTGAAAATTATATTTTATAAATTTCACTAGTGGTTTATCAGAATATAATCATCTGATATATTACAATAAAACACTGGAAAGCATGAAATAATATAATTATTTTGCTGCCTGAAAAGTATCATTAATAATTTTGATCATTAAAGCGCTCCTGGACTTCCAAAAGTGGAAATTTGCGAGTCATTTACTCATTGACTTTGACTTGTAACTTCTGAGCAGTGTTTGTCCTTCTTTACCTATATAATATGACTTCCAATTTGTGAGACATGTTGCAGTCTCCCGACTTCCAAATTTTGAAACTTAAAGAAAGTCCTAGTATTCTATGCTCCAATTGGCCTAAAGCATAAAAATATTCTCGTCTACACATACAGTATCTTCCCTAAGTCAAACCAACCCATTTTTTTGTATTTTGGTATTGAAATCCCTTAAAATTTTGAAGGGACATATCCAAATTCAAAGCAGGGCAAATCCATTATACAAATTCATCATGGTAAAGGGTTAAAAGTTTATCGTTACTTGAAATTTCATTTTAGTCTTTAGAGAAATTTACACTTCATCACCTTAGTGCAATAACTAGTTAACCCATATGAAATTATAGGAACACTTAACCTGTTACTGCACTAAGGCAATGCTTTGTTCAGAATAACTTATCAAATTTCACAAGATAGCATAACTGCTCATCAAGTAAAAAATTTGATGCAACTTACCCTTTAGAAGGACCTCCCCTGGGATCCTGGAATGTGGTAGTTTTTGTGTTATGATCAACAAAATATCTTATACCCTCTGCTGTATATCTCATCTCCCAACCTTCAGGTAATGGGTCTTCTTGTATCGTTCTGAAAATAAACACTTTTATGTTTCAATTTGTATACAAATTTAGGACACGAAAATTAATTTTTTATAGTGGGATTTACCTTGCACGAACACTGTAAAGGTCATATGGTGACATTACAGCTTTTCTGGTCGACAAAGACCTCAGGTGCCCCTCCGTGCATTATTCCATGGGCACAAAGGAACACTTAGTGGAACCACTGACCTTTTTGATAGCTAGCACATGAAAAAATGCAAAGTTCCTGTCAGGATTTGAACCCACACTGGTCAGGGGAAAGTGGTTTGAAATCAACAACCTTAACTGCTCTGCCACGAACTCCCCACAAACAATTGTTGAACAAAATAAAACTTGTTTGTATATCTTCAAAATTATCTGAAGAAATTCTTGCTTAAACTCTAAAATGGTTAAAACAGCAATCTGTTCCTTGCCATCATGAAAATATTAAATCCTGTGAAATTCATGCCGAAATTCTAATGAAAGCATCACATAACTAAAGTTTTTTCTGTCAAATCATATCAACAATTAAAAAAAAAAAATTAAAAAATTAACATTGACATCGAACAATTCTATATGAAAACTTAATTCTAGATTCCTATAAAGCTTGTTCAAACATAAGCCTAATCAAATAATTGATCAGCATTTTTCTTACCCTTGCGTTCTCGGATCTTCCCATTGAGTTGTTCTGTTTTTATGATTGACAAAATAAACACGCCCATTGGCATCTGCTCTCTTTTCTGAAAATATCACGACAAAACAAGCATAAAATGTGAATTTGATGTCATCTTAAACTTGCAAGAATACGAAACTTCTTATAAGAAACACACTAGAATTTGCAGGTAATGTTCTATTCTAAATTCTCTTGAATCTTATTGTGTAAGTAATAAGGCACATAACCACAAGTTTCCTAGGACCTAAAACATGAACCTATTAAAAAAGTGGTATAAAATTAATCATAAAGAAATATGGCATACAACCACAATTTTCCTGTAGCCTATAAATTGAACTTTCCATATCAATTTAAATTTCAATATAACCGTTAATTTTTTCAATAACCTATGAATAGAACCCTTTAAACAATTTTGGTTGTGTATATAAAGAGACAGCAAGCAAGAATTTTTTTTCCCTAAAACTTACCACTTGAACCGCCAGAATTATTTTGGGTATAAGGAAGACATACAACCACAACTTTCATGAGCTATCAATTACACCTCTTCATTAGTGTAACTTAAGAAAGATGCATTCAACCAAAACTTCCCTGGGACTTATATATTTGAACCTTATACACTGAATCTCTAGTAATATTTCCAGCGGTGTATATAAAGAAAGAAGACATACCCCATCCTTCTGGAAGGCTTTCTAACGAGTCATCCTGAGGTGTGCTTGCTGACGGCATCATCGTGCTGTTAAACAGAGTTCTGTTCTGCAGTTGTTCATACGCCTGTGTACGCGTGTTGTTCCAATTTTGTTGCCAGTTTTGTACATTGGCTACGAAATCTATGCTCGGTCTCTGCCACGTTGTCGTACGCGTGTTGTGATCCACATAATACACTCGACCACGATTATCAACACGTCTTTCCCAGCTGAAAGAAATACACATGAACATTTTTTTAGTATTTTACATATTTATTAAAATGTTTTAGCGTCATACACAATTTTAGACTCATAAGCAATTCAGTGTTGTACACATTTTCTGACTCGTAAAAAAAATCAGTATTATAATGTATGTAAATTCATGCCTTAAAGTTCCTTAATAGATCATTCTAGACACAAATTTCACCTAATTAAAACACATGCTTCACTTACCCTGAAGGTAGAGGCTGGGGTCGTTCCCAGGTAGTTGTACGGGTATTATGATCAACATAATATGCACGACCATGTGGGTCTGTCCTCATTTCCCAACTAAAATATAATACATACACAACAATTAGCTACATATAAGGTAACTACATAACCAAAGAATTTTCATCTGTAATATAACAAAAAGTAAGAATCTGAAGCAGAAATATACACAAACATTTTCCTGAGGGTTGTTCATTCCCTCGAGGCTTGTGCAATTGAGTTTAAAGCTTTCATTACAATGCAGCAAAACTAAATATGTTTAAAACTAGAACTGTGTTCAAAGGACACGGATGCCCCCACTGTGCAGATGTGCACCTGTTTTAGAGGAGTTGCGTTCACAAAATTTCTATATGGTATAAAGTGAAAAAATAAACAAAGGGCCATAATTCTGTTAAATTTGGTCACAGCAAAAATTCCTTTCTTTACTTCTATCTACACATTAAGGTTGTTCATCCCTGGAAGTTAAAGCAAAATCTGCCATCCAGTTTAAGAGGAGTTGCGTTCACAAACTTTCTATATGGTATATAGTGAAAAAATCAACAAAGGGCTATAATTCTGTTAAATTTGGTCGCAGCAAAAATTCCTTCCTTTACTTCCATCTACACATTAAGGTTGTTCATCCCTGGAAGTTTAAGCAAAATCTGCCATCCGGTTTAAGAGGAGTTGCGTTCACAAGATTTCGGGACGGACGGACAAGTGCAACGCTATATGCTCCCACTTTGTGGGGGCATAAAAAACTTATTTGTGGCTTTTAGTTGTAGAATCATTTTAACACAATTGAAAAGCCTATGTACCTCAAAAGTAACAAAACCAATCAAATTTATTGGCCAGCTTCTCTCCTGATTCTGAAAAACAACCGAATCCAACTGGCGGTAACTTGAGTGAAACGTCGGGTACATTTTAACCCTTACCTTACTGGCATCAACTGAACCTACCCAAGCAACCAGTGCAGACCAAAACAAAGCACATCTGTCAAACTAAACATGGAATGCACTTGGTTACTATTCAGCCTGTACATATCTTAATTTGTTTGTGCATATGTATTTCATCGTCAGCAAACTTCATTTTCCACCTTAATTCATTTGATTTGACAATCATATTAAACGATATATCTAAAAATAACATATTTAACCGTTATGAAAGCTGAACGCCATCTTCCGTGCATATTTCAGGCCTGAACGGGCACCTGAGTAGAACCATAGACGTTCCGAAAGCTAGCTGGATAGCTTCCTCACAACATATTTTAAAATCATCCCTTAAAATGATGAATGGTTTTGTCCAAATTAAACGGTGGACCAGTCGATTTAAGATAATATGTCTTGTAAGGGATAAACACATGCAACTAATCATGGAATGCACTTGTGTGCTTTTCAGTCAGTACATATTTTAAAATTATCCCTAAAAACGTTGAATGGTTTTGTCAAAGTTGAAGGGTGGACAAGTCCATTTAAGATAATAAGTGTGTTAAGGGTGTAAATACATACCCAGCAGGAAGAGGTTCATTGTTGTTGGCGGTATCTGAATTGGTGGTTGAGCTTTCACTGCTAGCTGGAGGTGGTGGCCCGAGAGGAGGTGTTCCATCACCAGCTAAAATAATTAACAAATGAGCCGTGTTATGACAAAACCAACATAATGGGTTTGCGACCAGCATGGATCCATGCTGATCCATCCATGCTGTTCGCTATCAGCTTCTTCAACTTGTTAAAGGGTTTGTGAGCGAACAGCATGGATCCTGATCAGACTGCGCGGATCCATGCTGGTCGCAAACGCACTATGTTGGTTTTGTAGTGACGCAGCTCAATATAATGTATGAATTTCCAACAGTGCATTTCTAGAGATTTCAATGTGAAAACATCAGACAGAGAACTGTCCCAGAGTTTACTTAGTTTAATACACCATTATACATAATACTGATGCTCTGCTAAGACAAAATTGTTTTTAAATAATTATACTACACAGACATGCACATAAGGCCTTCCTATCCATTGATATAATGGATTTCAGCTGCATGCCTCCAATCAGCCAAAAAGGTTATAAGAAAATCAAACTTGAGAAACAACATATTTCGAAAAGTAAATCTATTCAAGTTTCAAGTAATAATGTACATGTTTAATGCGATAAAACAAAGATTTTGCAGTATTAAACACTGTATTTCTACTGTAGGACTAATACAGTAAGGGCTAATAATGCATAATTTGTTTTCTTTTATGTATCTTGTATAGACTGAAAGTGTTGTTTACAATAAGCAAATAACTTCTGTTGTCACTTCACAATAATAAATCAAAAGCATAAATCTAGAGGTGTGCTGCTTTAAAATAATAATGTAAATAATAAAATTATAAATACTTTGTCATTTTTTGCATATATAAATTGGTATCAAGTTCAAAAGGAGCATTCATACTACCAGATGATACAAAAAATTGTATTGGCTCACCACTAAATTTTATTAAACAAAATTAATGCAAGATCTGGAAAAATGACCTTAAATACCAAATCCTTATTTGCAAGCATTAATTAGAATAATTGATATATCCACAAACCTCAATAAGCTCAATTTATGATAATCAAATACATGTTATACTGACCAGCTGGAGGGGGTGGCGGCGGAGCGGAACTACCACTAGCATTCCCTGCTGCTGCTGCAGGAACTGGGGGAGCAGGACGGCCAGGAGGGACTCTACCAGCAGCACCGGCACGTGTATTTTTGTTACGTCCACTCTGGGCACTTGCTCCTGGAGCTTGACCTATAAAAGACAAAAATTTAAATCATTTAAGTATACAAGTTTCAACACGATTTTTTCAAGTATATGTGAATTTATTGTACCGAATGTTATATGAGCCGCGTCACGACAAAACCAACATAGTGCGTTTGCAACCAGCATGGATCCAGACCAGCTGCACATCCGCGCAGTCTGATCAGGATCCATGCTGGTAGCTATCAGTTTCTCTACTTGTTATAGGATTTGTAAGCGAACAGCATGGATCCTGATCAGACTGTGCAGATGGACAGGCTGGTCGCAAACGCATTATGTTGGTTTTGTCACGGCGCGGCTCATATCTTATTCAGTTCAGCGTCCTCAAAGACCTTTCTCACATCAAAGTTGCCTTCAGTATTTCAATAATTTCATCTTGGTATATCATAACACTATTAAGTCTATCAAAACAGCCTACCAAGAGCTAAATAAAATGCACCAGTGTCCTTGGATTCTAAATATTGGAAGATCTGGGAACACATTGTCTGCTTTACTAATCTTAATTTGAGCCGCATCACGACAAAACCAACATAATGGGTTTGAAACCAGCATGGATCCACGCAGTCTGATCAGGATCCATGCTGTTCGCTATCAGTTTCTCTACTTGTTATAGGGTTTGTAAGCAAACAGCATGGATCCTGATCAGACTGCGCGGATGCGCAGGCTGGTCTGGATCCATGCTGGTCACAAACCCATTATGTTGGTTTTGTCATGATGCGGCTCATTTAGAGAGAGGACCAGTAGATTTTTGAGGTATCCAGGGGTTTCCTTATTGTTATATGTATTTCATCGTCAGCAAAATTCATTTTCAACCTTAATTCATTTGATTTGACAATCATATTAAACGATATATCTAAAAATAACATATTTAACCGTTATGAAAGCTAAAGGCCATTTTAATTATTAAAACTTGGAAAAGAAAAATTATTAATAATGCAAATAAATAGCAATATGCATGTAAAATAATAGGCAATATCGCACACATCTGTATATACATGAACACTGGAGCCACCAGCCCAAGCCTCTACAAGATTTCATTCTAATGTCAAAAATTTGATACTGACTGAAATACAATGTATTGTAAACAATAGGCAAAACATGACCGAAAAATGCAATCAAATACAAAAGAACAAGACCTATCTCCTATATCTTGCAAATGTAACTCTTTTTTTTACTACCGGTATCTTCATTAGAAATATAACAAGTTACAACCTCTCAGACGTCATAAGACGAGGATTTTTTCAATTTTAATTTCCTCCTTGTACTGCATTCTGTTATTCAACACCTTATACAACTGCTGATGTTAGTACGTAATATGACACTGTCGTACAAACTCTCTCCGAAGGAGATATGTGGTAAACTCATGGGCAGGAAAACATTTACATCTGATTGATTTTAATAGTCTTCTCTAGAAATGTGGCTTAATAACAATAAACAATCACAAAGGACTTAAAATGCAGAAATTTTCTTTCAAGATGCTTAGCCTTTACTTTTCGAGACAAAACATTGAATTTCCTACAAAACTGTTGAATAAATGTTCAACGATCATTATCAACAAGACTATCTGTACAAATGTTAGTTTCTTCCTTTCAAAATGTTGCTTTTAAAAAAGCTAAAAAACAAAGCCTTGATTGATTGATTTCCTTTAGACCAGGGGGTCAAAGATAGCCTACCAAAGTGCCAGCACTTATTTCCAGTAGGGTCCTCACCTCAGCCGACACTAGAGACCGAGACAGCTATGAGATATACAAGGGAATCCAGGAACCAGTCACTGCTCTTATTTAATGGATCCCTTGGTTCTTTTACATGCCCGGAGTATAGCACTGATACATGCCAGGATTACCTGGGTTTCGTACCAGTATACCACTAGGTAGGTGGGAAGCACTGATAGTGTTTCTGAAAAATCCCAAGGGAGTGAACCCGGAACCTCAGGAGTAACAGTCAGTGGTCTAACCAACTGAGCTATCGCGCCACCTGTCATTTTTTTTAGCCTAAGTGACCTTAACTTTCCACCAAATCTACCTTTAGACTGTAGAGACCCACAATGTACCAACTAAACAAACGTGATTTTATGTTGGCTTTGTCATGACGCGGCTCAAATGGTATGCGTGACACTGGCAAACTGGTCAGACTGCACAAATAATACAGGCTGTCTAATGACTGGTGGCAATGTTTATTCAATCACTTTTGGTTGGTTCCAGAAGAGTCAGGGTGAAAAGAGAAAACTTACTCAGAACAGAAACTCAACAAAACATGATTTTTTTTTCAACTGATAATAAATTTCTATATCAAAAACTCTTTCATACATGACCTCATTTCATTTCATAAAATGAGCAAAAAATTATTCACTCAAATCCAAATAGTTAAAACCGATACCATGAATAGAAATGAACTGCGGAATAAAATCAATGAAACTAAATTATAAATGAGAAACACCGCGTTTAGAATCATCAACCTGATAATTATATTGAAATAGAAATTGTATCTTTTTGCATCTTTGTTGAATGAATTTGAATGAGTTTATAACTTTATGATTCATGAATTTTTTATTTCTGACTATTTTGCAAATTTCAAAAACTTTCAATAATTTTTTACCCATACAATGCTATGACAAAAGAAGGCCTATATAAATGCATGTAGTATAGGGGCAAGCCACCGGAAAGTCAATTGTCAATGACCAGACATGTTGGCAGCTCGGTAATAAAATTCCATTAATTTCTATAAGGTAAAAAGCTTTATAGAATGTGTTTCTTGAGCATTTTATTTTTTCCATTAAGGTATGGTAGATTCTCAAAGAGTTGTAACCATAGAAAGACCCTGTTTTTAACACGCATGGAAATTGTTTATTAACAAAATAAAATGTTCAGGAACAAAATATTATGCTGGTATTTAAAATATATTTTACCACTTTGCAACAATTTCATGCAAATAGCTCTTAAGGAAATATACAAAAATATTTCTTTAATACTGATATTTTGAAAGTGTATTTTTTTAAAACTCAAATATAATTATTTTGTATACTAAAGGCAAAAAATATAAAGCTTTAAACACTTTAATGGACAGATTTGGCATAATGGTAAGAATGAAGGTTCTCAACGTAAAACTAAACTTCATGTACAATTCAACTTAACTGCCTTTGAAAAAATATCATTCCAAATTTTCTCATACAAAAAATAAGATTTTAAAATCAATGAAGCTATTTTTAGAAAGAAACTGATAATTTAGGAAAATAAATTATTTAAATAAATTAGAAAAATTTAAATTTCACCTAGCCTAAATTACCAAACAAAAAGAGCACTAAAATACCCGCTTCAAAAGAAGCATTCTAATATAATACAATAGAGGCAAATAAATAGAAATTATTGACACTTAAGAAATGTGGCTATTGTTAACTGTTGGGGACTTAAAACAATTTTTTTTCATTCCTTTACCATCGTCATTGTTTACATTAATAGTGGGTCAAATTCATTGATTAGGCCACATGCTCAGACTTTCATTAACAAATGCCTTACATGGCTGGCTGCCAAAGCTAACAGACTCTTGTACACATTCACAATGTCCCTGAAACATGTGGAGTTTTACAAAATCTTTTCTTTTACAGTCACACTTGACAAGAAATACATTCACTAAGGAACCAGTGTATTTTTCCCCTAGTCTTTAGTGAATGTGTTTTAGGGCCCTTTGAGTTGTGGCAATTAACGCCTTAATCAAATGGTATCATTTGTGAATAATAAATATACTAATTTAATACTGTTCAAATTTAGTTACTAAATGGGTAAGAGTGTTTAACATAAAGCAATTAGTGACTGATTTTACAATATTCATCACTGTAATTCTACTGAGTGCATGACTTACACAGTAAGGGCTATTCGCCCCCCCTCTCTCTTTTTGGATTGTAAGCGCTGTTTGCAATGTGTTAATTACTTTCTTTGTTCACTTCACAATCTTTTACTTTAAAAATTTTTTTTTCAAAATTTTCATGACAATTAGCATGAATCTGCATACTGCTTTAAAGTACATGTATATATAGACAGTGATATATAATTTAAACTCATAATCATTTGGCTATAAACATGAAGTTTTAAAACTGTCATTATCATAGATTGAGAGATACATGTAAAAATAAATCACTATATCATAGATAAAGTACAGTTGTCGTTGTTGTTTTTTTCATTGATTAAATGTGACACAGTGCATTTTAAGGATAAACTTATTCACTAATGACATTAATTACAAAAAAAAAACATTGACACCTGTGATTTGCTGAATCATTTCATGATTTCAAAATACCAAATCAATAAACATGGCTCAAATATATTAAACAAGATTGCATGCCATCATGTATGTCTACTTAATATGACTCTTATATCTTAAGTTGTCTGTTTCACAGGTCTGGGTCATAATTTAAAGACCAAAGAAGATAGTTCATATTCAATTTCAAGGCCTATATTATGCTTATAGGATATAAATGTGACATTAATCATATTATGTCATATAAAAAATATTCTTATAATTTCTCTACAATCTATATATAAAGAACTGCTTAAAGCCGTCCTTTTCTTATTGTTTTGAAAGATGTTGCTGTTTTCATATTGTTTTGCTAATATTAACCATTACCACACAAAATTCCTAACAAGGACTTTTGATGAAATTAAGAAATAAAGACACGTTGATAAAGCACATAAATCAAAAACAATGTTGTCCAATGTCCTTGGTGTTTTTAAGTTTATTTTTAGGAATATTTATTATTTTAAACTAATAATAATTTATGAATTCAACATTCCTGTTCACTCTTTTAAAAGATAGCCCTTGCCCAATTATAAAAAAGTACACAAACTGAAAAAATGTTGATTGGTATCATATTCAGGAGAATATCTGATAAGCCATATAAAAGCTATTTATTAACTTCTATAAAAAAAAAGATATATATGGACTTTTTAGCTGGTAAATATGACATGATATCGCTATCGCCTTGGTCAATATTTGATTTTCTCAGTACATACATATACATGTATCCCATCTGATGACAATTCATCGATTAAAAGGTCTGTATTTTGTACAAAAGCTTCCTTATAAACTAAAATTAAACTCTGTATGCATTAATTATCAATTTTTAATATCTCTCACAAAAAGAGCATGAATGTGCTTTCAGCATCTTCTGTTTAACTATTAATAACAAAACTGATGTTCGATTTTTTTGACTATGTTCCTATTATTTAACTATTAATAACAAAACTGATGTTATATTCAGTTCAGGCAAAAAAAGGATCAAAAAGATTGCATGCTAACGAGAAATTCATCACAAATAAGTCTCTATCGAGACCGTACTTTCCATGCAGACCACCGCAGACTCATGTTTAATATAAAATCATAAATGATTAAAACACACGAGCATTAAATTAAGTTGTGTGTCTGTTTGTTTTAATTTAAAATAAAATTCAATCAATTGAATAACAATATAAAATAAATATCTCAAGTTTTCATCAGTTATCTGAGAGTGATTTGAATAAATCAATAACAATTTTAAATTCCTGTCTTCCATGTAGCTAGACTTACAGTTTTGTTCAAATGTTTTGTTCAAATGAATGAAATACCACAAAATTTTGTGCAATGATCAAAAATAATGTGCAACCCGCTGGTTCCATAATACAATGTTTACTATATAGTCAATATCTTATTTTTCTAAGTTCAAAAAGAAAAAAAATTGATGATTTGACATTCTTCCTGACTGAAAAAAATGACTGTTTTTATTCAACAAAAATGCTTATTTCACAAAACTGTTAGGATAGCACAAGTTTTGGCTGTTGGCTTTGTACATGTACAATACATGTATGTTGGTAAATAACAACAGTGTGGTAAAATTTGTGATTAAATTTTTCTAACTTTGTTCATATCTGTTGGTAATAAACACAATTTTGATGAAATTTCCTTGAAACTTGTTTCAAAATCCTGTTAGTAAGTAACAAAATTGCAATGTACATGTAGTTCTAATTATTTTATCTTTGAAGGTCATAGTCATTTAAATTTTTAAGGTCAAGGTCGTACTTTCATATATTTCATATACATCAGAACTATAGGAGTACTTTGGCTACAAACAAAGAGGGTTATAGTCAAGTAGTGTACATAAGTTATCAGCAGCCAGGCTATAAACTAAGAGGGTTATAGTCAAGTAGTGTACATAAGTTATCAGCAGAGAGAGAAAGACAGCCCAAAATCAATCAATGACTGATCATTAATGAGTACACGGGCATTAAAATGACTGACTTCCACCAAAATTGTGGAAAGATTTTATATGTACATGTACATTAAAAAGATAGTAAAAAGAATATGACTATAGGAAATTAATCTACACATGAAACATTTTGAGAATTTTGTTTTCACATGTATAACAGCCTTTCAATGAAATCTGCAATTGTCCGGTTTACAAAAATTGTCCAGTTTATAGCTTTCCAATTAACATTAATTGACCGGTTTACAGTTGTCGAGTTAACAACAACTGTCCAGTTTGTATTGTCCAATTAACAACAACTGTCTGGTTTATAGTTGTCCAGTTAACAAAAACTGTCCTTTTTACAAATGTTCAGTTAGCAATAATTGTCCTTGTCCGGTTTATTATCTGGTTTACAGTTGTCCAGACAACAACAACAGTTGCAATCCAATTTATAATTGTCCAGTTAAATACCTTGACATGGACATAATGTCATAAGTAAAAAGGAACTTATCAAGAACTAGAATCAGCTGCCTAACTGCTGTTGAAACTTGTTTCATATCATGTGGAAAATCATTTAATGTACCAGAGAAAAAAACTCTTGAGAATCGACAATAAAAATATAATACTACTCATAAAAATTCTCAGTAAAATTGTTCATGTAATTCTACCTGAAGGAGTCTATGGGTAAATTGATGTAGGAAAGTATGATGGCCTAAATCACAAAAATAATTATCACGATACTTTATTAGGTATATAATTTCATTTACTTATATCTAGGTTCACAAAGTCCATCAATGTTTGACTAATTGTCTTTCACAACAATCTTGAAGCTGCATGCGACCAGATGAGCCAAAATATTCTAAGAAAATGAAACCCGACAACCCAGGTTCAAAACATAATTTCCAATGGCAAAAATGCAAAGTGGCTTCAAAACTGTGTCCAAAAATTTCAAATGACTGTTGCAAATTCATAATCTGGCAGCCTCACACTTATATTATGTTGAATTATGGTACAATTACAGGCAAAATAAGACCCATCGTGTATTGACCAGTGACCACTGAGGCAAAATAAGACCCATCGTGTATTGACCAGTGACCACTGAGGCAAAATAAGACCCATCGTGTAACAACCAGTGACCACTGAGGCAAAATAAGACCCATTGTGTATTGACCAGTGACCACTATAGCAAAATAAGACCCATCATGTATTGACCAGTGACCACTGAGGCAAAATAAGACCCATCGTGTATTGACCAGTGACCACTAAGCCAAATAAGACCCATCGTGTATTGACCAGTGACCACTGAGGCAAAATAAGATGCATCAAGTACTGACCAGCGACCACTGAGTAACTTTATTTCATCGCAAGACACACATTTTCAAATAACTCACCATTGGATGTAGAGGCTCGAGACGCCGGCTTCTTGGGAAATCTAGACATGGTCACATTTAATCCATCAAGACAAACGGTCAAAACACCAGTTTTTCCTTTCCCTTCAACTGATATATCCACCTTCTTGACAGTGTTCGACACTGAAAAAAACAAAAATAAATAAAATCCAGTTTTACTGAAGATGACTATTCAAAATTACAACATACTATATCTGTTATTTTTACCATGGCAAAAACTAAAATCTTGAGTCCTAATTTTAACTAATGGTATTTTTCTATTTTACATACATGTACAATAAACTCAACTACATTAAACTCATGGGATCACCAAATTTATATAGTTATATCTGGATAGCCTTATATCCAAGAGGCAACCAATTTGAAAACAAGAGCAGGAACCACTACAACAGCTTTGCTATAAGCGGTATCATTTTGAGTAGAGTTTAACAATATTTAGTATCAACCCAGCCTTAAATTATTACTCCTGTAACTTTATAACATTCTGGTGTAAAGACTTGGTTCAGACACTACAGTTCTATACCAGCTAAGTGAAGCGCTCTCAAAAATTTTAAGACAATAAAACTACACTATATTAAGATTTCATGCCAAAGCTTTCCATGTACACTCAAGTGATCTAATTTATAGCGTCCTTCTGTCAAACATAAAATTTGCTGCTATTTTTTTCTTCACAAATGGTATTTTTACACACAGTTTCATGCAAATCATATAACAATACTTAAGATATGTAATTACAACATAATCCTGAAGTAACTTACATTTTCCATTGTTTTCTGTCAAGACACTGTGAAGGTCCACCACGCACTGTCCAATAACCACATCCGCTCGTAGCGATTTCCGACAGTACACTTTAAAATCTAACTTTGTATATGGCGTCACAAGTCTGTAAATAAATACAAAAATATAACTTCATTTTTCATGACTGTGTTTCTTCTTTTATCGTACAGTCTCCAAAGAATTTTTTTTAAAGTAATGATTTCTACTTCAAGTAAATTATGTTTCTAAACATAACAAACATCACTTTCATGATATTTAAGACAGGCAAGTTCAAGTTCTTTTGATGTTTTTGCTGGGAGTTTAATATCATTAATATTATTTTGAGCAGCAGTACTAACCCCATTCCAATCAGTGGAACAAAATGAGCATCAGCCGCAAAATTATGCAGGGTTTTAACTAGCCATGAAATCCTGAGGGTCATTTTGACCAATACTGACTAAGATTTACCAACTACAAGGTCAAATCCACATGATTATAACAAAATTTGACCCTCCAGTTAAAATCCTGAATGTCAAATGGGGTCTTTTGTAAATTTGAAGGGTCAAAGAGTCATTTCAAGGGTCAAACCTGCTATGTAAAAAGAAACACTGATAAATGATGGGTTATTTGATCCTGCACTATGAATAAAACATGATAAAAAGCCATGTATTAAGTAGTTTTTCAACTTTTTAACAATCTCTCAAATAGCCAAAAATGGCGTACAATTGTTCCCGATTTAATCTAGAGACCTTTTCCCGAAACAGCTAAAAAAAGTGGAATTTGTGCATAGAAAAAATTGTTTATGCCAGCAGCCATACTGCCCATCTGCCTTTCAATAATGTAAATAACCTGGTTTATAATTAATTATAAACAGTCCATCTACATGTACTTACACATTAAAATGCTCATCCCATTTTGGGTTTGTCGTCTTTTTGCACACCTCAGTTTTTCTAGCTGGTGATTGGTCTACGGTAAGTTCAAGAAACGTATCAGGATTTCCAGAATACAACCCTCCACTGCTGGACAACTTTGCCGATTGCACTGTAAATAAACAACATTAGTATAAGTCAATATATTTTTCACTTAAAACATAAAATTATGTATAAAGTCAATTCAAGAAGAAATGTGTCCATAGGACATGGATGCCCCTATAGATTACCATGTCAGACAATGGCAAATTTATAATGCCATCCCCTAATAGTCCTTAAGAAAGCAAAAGCTGAAAATATGACAGACTCATTTTTTCAACTTATTCCAAAGATAAGATACAGTTTAACAGCCAAAACAGACAAATGACTGTGATTTTTCTGGAACTTTACCGACACTTTAAATTTTAACAAAAATGTAGTTCCTGTATCAACTATAGAATACAATCATACAAAAACAAACTGAATTATTGATACTAACAAATTAAAAATCATGAAATTACAAATGCCTCTTTTGATTATAAAACAACTTTTTTTTTATTGGGTTTTGACATTTTATGTAGCACCAAGACAGTATTTATAGCTCAGAAAGTGACTTTCCAGCTTTAATGGTGGATAAAGACCTCAGCTGCATCTCTGTGCCTTAATTTTAGGTACATTGGGCACCTGAGTAGTGAGTAGAACCACTGACATTCCATAAAACAATTAAAAATTGAATTTTCTCCAGCTTTTAAAATAATTATTACATTTAATTTTCCATTGTTATTGTTATCATGCAGTTTTGGACATAGAAAAGTTAAATATACATTAATAAGTTGTTATTCTTTCACTGTCGAGGATACATAAAGAGTAATAAGTTTACATACCATTCACATTCAGCTGGGAGAACTGGGGAGTGCTTGACGCTGAGGCGGCTTCTCCCATCATCTAATAACTGTTTTTATAGTTGACTGAAAAGTATGCAAAGTCATTCATACAAATGTAAGCTAAAGAATCCCACTCATCCAAATATAAGCACAAGTCAAAGAGCAAAGTTCTACAAAAGTTCAAATGATTGTCCGACTATAGTATACATGTACATGTATATCATAAATTTCCCAATGTAAGTTTTTTTACACACATGATTTCCAAATGATTTATTATAAAGAAAATTTATTTATCTACAGTACATTTAAATTACCGGTATAATTATCCTGCAATCAAAGTTTTAACACTTAAACTCAGAATAGCTTGTCCTCAATCTGGTAAAATTGAACAGTATGATTTAATCATTTATCATTAATCAATAATTACACTTTTAAATACTGTGCAACAGGACTTTCAAATTAAAACAGGACTTTCAAGTTAATTATAGTATTAAAGAAACTGCTCTGCATTCAAAAAGCTTAAAAAATTAATTCTGAATTTCTTACAAAGATTAGATTTGGAACTTTAAATAAAAAGATATGCAAAGATAATCAAGAAATATACTTGAAATAATTGAAATCATATTTTTGTGCTATTCTTAGCCCAATTTGAGTCACAAGCATTGTTCTGGGTCATTTTTCACAATAAGTATTATTATTCTGGAAACAAAGTTTAAGAGAATTATCTGAAATATTGCACACAAGATATTTGTCTGAGATCTACATCAAATGGAACATTAATCTTCAAAATAATATTTCCAATCCTGTTGCGTCCTGTGGAGTTCTTTAATTGCAAATTTTAAACGAAAAGAAACAGTTTATCAATATTTACACAAGGCTAGAAACATCTATACTGGTTGGGGACCACCAAAACTGGACAACCACCCAACCCAGACGGCCCCGAAAATGCTTAATTTAGTAATTATTTTGTTCAGTGGATGTCAGTCACTTTTTTTTTAACAGTAAATGAATGTTTCTTCTAAAATTAAGTAAATAATTTTATTTCAACCTCCGTAAATGGTTATATTTTGATGTCTATTTCAAGAATGTTAACGTTGAGATTTGGGGGTCAAGAAAGCCTGACCTCATATACCAGCTATAATTATTTGCAGAGTAAACAATAGCATATCCAAAACTTCAGCATTTGTTGCTGAAATATTGTATATCATGTTACAAATCAAAAATCAAAACACCCAAGCTTTTATCTGAATTAAATCACGTCATGTACATAACTGTCTGGACAAATGGTACTGTAGTGCAGACAATTTAGGTAATTTTGATACCCTCCTTGTCGAGCCTCAGATATAAGTGTCTATACAATCAGAAATAAACAAACTAGTTTGTTAATTAGGAGAAGAACCTAGCTGAACTGTGTCAAACTTGCTGGGCTCTAGGTTAAAAATTATGAAATCTGTACGGAAAAATGTTCAAAAAGTGTCCGGTTGATGGTCCCCGACCAGTAAAATGAAAGGAACAGACCAATTAAAGAGTGCATAGAATTACCAAAGGGAGCCGTTACATATAAGCAAATATTATTCCCAAGTTCCCAACACAACCGCAAAGTGCAGGCCCTGTTGGCAACCGCCACAATGCATAAATTTATGAAAGATTCTGAACAAAACTGTAGGCAGAAAAGTGTGCTCAACTCTTCTCAATGTATGATATAAATAGCCTGATAAATGCTGAAATTCCTAAGTCTAAAAAGGGCCATAGTTCTGTCAAGATCCATGTTAGAGTAAGTAAGTAGTAGGCATTGGCTAGTGAACTCCTTATCAGGCATTGGCTAGTGAACTCCTTATCAAATAACTTATAAGTTTGTGTATTTTCAACCTATTCCATTCAGTAGTTTTGGAAATATTGCCTGTTCAAAATCGTAACCAAGGTGTGACGCTACTGTTCAAGCTCACTGTCTTATCCTGCTAAAAGCTGCTTATTCTTTATCATAATTTAAATCTTATCATTTTATTATTATTAGAGTCACAGTACCTGTGCTCGACCAGCCCAGTGCTCGACCAATACTTCTATTTGTGTACGATTTATGCATTAAAGTAGAAAAACTCTGGGAGTTTGTGTGTGCTATTTGTACCTGACCTGTAACCTCTACACCATGTACAAGTACTCCAAGTTTGGTAGAAGATTGGCCATTTTGCAGACAATATTAAACAGTACAAAAATACAATTCTATAATAAAAGTAGCAGTAAAAACTATTTAAAACACTGAAATAATGATAATTTAGGACAAATGTGGACAATACTTTGTTAAATTGCCTTTACTCTTATGATTCCAATTGATTTCCATAGGAAAGGTGCCCAAAATTCATCAAAACCCTGCTTTCCATAAAAGGCAGGGGCTATGAACTTGTAAACAAATATGGCAGCTGTACGGAAACAAATCGGGAACACACCACTAAAAGCATAGACCATTTGTATATTACACCAACTATCACACTTAACTATGTTTGCAGAGTGATTTTAGTAAAATAAATATGAGAATATTTAATCTCAAACACCCCAGTATATGTAAATTCCAAAACTCTTATAAACACTTTATTTGTCAATGTATAGCATTTCCTTCGTATCATATTTGCTCTCATATTTACATCTATAGACACTATAACATAAATGTTTCAAAATATTTTTGAAATAGAATTGTTGAACATAAAAAGTCATATCTGTTTTTAAAAAATAAAAGTTCTGATAGAGATAAAACCACCTGGTCGAGCACTGGTTTGGTTGCCTGAAAAATATAGTGGTTTTATACCCTATATACAACTCCATGGTAAATTGTATCCTGATCTGTGTAATTAAAACGCTTTAGCTTATTGTGAGTTTGAAAGGGCCAGCTTTGTAACAAAAATAAGTTTCCAGGCAAACTTTTTGTCCTGTAAGAGTTTTTATGTGATTTTGTGAAAAACTGGTTGAGCACTGGTACGGTGACTCTATGATATGCATGACCTGACATTACTAGATTACATCATCATCATCATGAGTTTTATCAATAAAACTTGCCTCTAGCAATATACGAAACAATTGTATATCAAAGACATGTTTGAACAAAATATTATATGCACATTTCATAACTTATCTCACATGATTAAAAACCAGTTTCAGGATCTTCCTGATTCAGGGTCACAGGTTGTTCTAGAAAAAAATTGAAAATTTTACCACTTAGGATCCCTAAACTTACAAAGACACTCTTTTTACTAACTCTCATAATTGAGAAAAATGTATATATGATCTACAATTATTTGTAAAGCGTAAATATTCCAAGTTAAAAGATGTGACAGTCGTCAAAATATCACGAATATAAACTACCATGATCACAATAAAAACAAAGGTAAATATTGGGTAGTTTTGCAACAGATAACAGCATGACGATGATTTAGAAAGTTGTATCATGCAATATAATACAGGTTAACAGCATTCCACTTACATTTTTCACTGTTAATTGTCAAAAAGTATACTTTTTGATGTAACACTCTAACATTTTGACAGTGTTTTGGCCACCATACCTGGACATTGATCACGTGACATTTTGACGTTAGGATATTTTTTATTTTATTTTTTAAGATGGCAACTCGAGAATTTTTTAAAACGGTAAACTTCAAATAAGTTAAAATGAACAGTTTTTCTGTAAAATGCTTTTATTTTCACTGTTTCCTAATTTATTTTACTTTTACGGAAAGTTACGGAAACTATCGAAGGTAAAATATTTAACGAATACTACCCAATAATAACGTTATCATCTCCGAATGTTTGTTACTTTACATACGGATTTTAGATTACATAAACCTCACTTAACAACACTTTCTGACGGAAAACCAAACAAAAGAAAATAGACATTATTCAATATCTCTCATGTGTGTCTGTTCTTTCTCAAAAAAATCTTTGCATCTAGTCGTTTTAATTTTAATGTTACATTTTTCTCTTTACATACATATATTTAGCGGTATATATAAATCCGTAATATTATCACAATATGAACACAGCGATGCAAAAGGTTTGATCCATGAGTTCTTTCAACATTGGCAATCGGTTCCGCCCTAAAATATTATTAATTAAACTCCTTAAATAATAATTAGACAGTGTACATACCAGAAGGAAGCAAAGTAGAGCAGCTAATTATAAGGAACGAACATGCAGTTAGGAACATATAAATTGTAAAATGTATTACTTACAAAGAGATAATTAAAAGGAGTAAGGTAGTGATTAGTTTGAAGGAATTTCAAATAGATGTGACAAATAGTATTTGTATGTAGAAATATTAACATGTTAACGGAAACCTTAGAGGGACCGTTTTCATTTCCATTCTAAATGTGTATGTGCGCTTTTAATATTTCATTGTAAATCATAACTATCTTCTTTTTTCAATGCCTTGTGTCACACCATTCTACCATTCTTTCTTTTTATTATTTTTCATTTTACTATTTTACTTCTTTAGGCATTTAAGGACAAGAGCAGCCCTATAGAAAATATTTTTGAAGAATACGTACATTGATAATTATGATTGACATTCTTTTTTCAATGCCTTGTATCACACCATTCTACCATTCTTTCTTTTTATTACTTTTGATTTTATTTTTTTACTACTTTAGGCAGTTAAGGAAAGAGCAGCCTTATAGAAAATATTTTTTAAGAAAACATAGATAATCATGATTGACATTCTTTTTTTTTTCAATGCCCTGTATCACACCTTTCTACCATTCTTTCTTTTTATTACTTTTTATTTTATTTTTTTACTCCTTTAGGCAGTTAAGAAAAGAGCAGCCCTATAGAAAATGTTTTGAAGAATACATAGATAATTATGAAATACGTAGATCTTTAAACACCGAAACCCGAGTTATTTTGATAACAAACATGTGAACATATACCGTGCAATATTTTACCATAACGCACCAGGAATAGAGAAAAAGACAGTCATCTTGGTATTGAAAGACATCTTAGAATCTGAACACACTATATATAAAACTTAATTTGTTTCTCCTCGAATGTGGTACCTTTAAATAGATAAAAACTAAAATGTTAAATAAATACTTTTATTATCCAAATGCCTACAAAATGGAAGAATTATTCAACTCTAAAGATCAGGCTTAATAAGTAAAACTAGCTTTACTTTGTAAGAATATTTTGTCAGTTAAATTAAAGTTTGTCCCTCATATTTTTATATTTTCTCAAACAAATGAAAATAGATAAATAGATAAATTAACTACACATATACAATGTTTTTGCAAACAAGTATTAAACTGATTAAAATTCCATAAAATATCAATTTTACTTATGATGAAAATTCTGAAATCTGAGGCGTCGTACGTATACATGGCGTAAATGCGAGAACAGCTGGTGTGTTGTTCCGGATCAAGTTAAAATAACGCACGATTTAGACTCTCGATCTGTTTTTATAGCAAAAATCTCTGTTATAAAATGCACGTTGATGCATTTTTACATTGTTTCAGATTATAGATTATGTCTGGGACTAAAAGTGTATCTTTCTGTCCCATATTATGTACAGTGTCCGGGACCCACGATTGAAAAGGAGTTAATATTAACAACGAGCTAGATAAATACCTGCCATAGTAGACTGTTATCAAATGGCTTCAGTAGAACTTACACATATAAATAGACCTATGTTTCTATATTTAGAAATGAATTTACAAAAACCTTTCAAAATTTAAGTTATAAGTGTGTTTTAGGTTTACTCAAGTTCATTTTTGGTCACTCGGGCAATACACAACATATCACATATTTTAAACAACATCTAACACATAAAAACAGAAACAAACCAAAACAAATGACGAAACTTGGATTTGAACACTGTGCATATTATTTGGGAATATAACCCCTATAGTTCACAGTTTCATGAATATATGAATTTGTTAACATTTGCTTGTTTAACTCTGATATATGGTGTCCAGAAAAAAGTTGAGACCTTGAAGGATAAGTAATTTTGCATGTATTTAACGAGTCATTTTCTTTTGTTTAATTCTTTTAAATGTTTTATTTGTTTTTGCATTTGCTATTTTTTGTCCTTTTTTTCTTGGTTGTTTTTGCAGTTACCGAATGAATATTTTGTCATCACAACGGTGAAATAGAGGTTAACATATAGTAGACTATTCGTACCGAAATGAAGAATGTCCTAACTACATGTATTTCTCTAAATTTCTTTTTAAAAATTTGGCCTATCTATATAAATTATCGAAAGATGCACTGTGTCAAAAATGTTCTGCTCAATCCCTAGGAAGACATGTAATAGCCGAGGACGTTCCGAAAAATGTTCTGTTTTGACCATGTTGATAACCTATCCAAAGTTTAAATTTGGTATACATTGTATTTGTTTATCCTGTTGAAATATATCCGCACCAGTCTTTTCAGACAAATTGGTTCAAATGTCAGCTTCGAGGCCCAGGGATCGTGCTACGTAGACCCGAGAGTAACTGGAGTCGTGACCACTTTCCCTCATATAATGACAACAGCAGTAGTTTGGGCCAGGGAGCAGACTGTAGTGAAGTTCAAAATCGCAACTTTTCCGCCCTTTCGGTAATTAAGTCTTTTTATGGACACTAACAGGGATGTTCTAATTGTTCTCGCGTCTTTGCAAAAAAAAAAAAAAAAACAACAAAAAAACACGGAATTAAATCGACGACATCAGACGGCAAGAATCGACATAATCTTCCAATAGGCTTCGCTGGTTTAAATAAAAGAATTTTTCGTCAAAAATGAGTTGTCATGCCAACCAAAGAAACATAAGCGTGTGTGGATAATTCGTTATAATTCGCCTGACATATTTCATTATAGATCTAACAAAGGAATATTATTAATAAATATTTCTTTCAACTATGATAATTAAATGAAGGTGAATGAGAGGGCATGTACGTAGGAATTTAAATCTCTGGAATAGATGCTATCTGAAACAAAAATAAAAGAACAAACAACATCATTAGCTAGAGTACTTTAGCATTGTATTGACGTCAAAGTTTTATTTTTATGGACAGTTTGATGAGTTTTTGACCTTCGCAAGATCCTCAACATAAACTTAGTAATTCAATCGGAACATATCCTCGGCTATTATCTATAATAACCTTAGGGCCGAAAAGCTGCGACTGCTTCATAATTATGTATGCATCATTCTCGTCAACAAGTCTACTTTTATCACTAAAGTTTCTATATGTTATTTCATGATTCTTTAAATTTTATGTACTTATGTAGGAACATATTTTGGTAATTTCAATCTATTTGTAGGCTATCATGTAATTATACACACATTTCAATAACAATAAAAAGGCTGGACAGGGAAGGTTCAGCATATACATGTATATTAATAGTATAATGAAACACATAAAGTATATGTTTCTTGTTAAAAAAGAAAAAGATCATCTTCAGGTGATATCGAATGTTTTATTAAAGTAATCTAAATTATTAAACGCCCATGATCGTTTTTTTTTAATTTATTTAATTTTTTGTGTGCGAGTTTTTTTTTTTTTTTTGTTGGGTTTAATTAACATAACTGTCAAATGGCAACTTTCATGCTTAACTGGTGCAGGAAGACCTCAGCTGCCCCTCGGTACATTATTTCAGGCACGGGTACCCGAGTAGAATAACCAACGTTCTGTAAGCTTGCATGGTATTTAACTCTCAAAAAATGATCAAAAACTCACAGCGATAAGAGACAAGTGGTTTTTGAAATCAAAGTTCTAAACCATTCGGTCACAGACGTAATTTCAAGAAATAATATACGACGTGAAGGGTATGTGATCATGAGGCATTTGTTTAAGGTAACACGGGTCACCGATACTGATTAAATGTTATTGATTTTTTTACATCTTTCAATTTGAAAAAAAATAAAAATATAGAATCTACCGACTTTATGTAAAATATTTGCCGATTCCTATGGTACATAACTTTCCATTAATAGTAACCCTTTTACTTCTCCCGTTATGATCGCAGAATTTTTTCTAAGCGGCAATATTTTGATGAAAATATTCGGCAAAATTGTCACAATGCCTGCAACCTTTAACCTCATGGCCCCGTGTTCACTAAGAAAAGACCAGGGTCAGGATCAAATGATCTTGATTCTATTTTCTTTGTTTTATAAAACTTAAATTGATCATATTTGCTAGAATAAGAATAAGAATAAAATAAGGTTCAATTTTAGGATCAATTTAAAGGGATACTCAGGCAAAATAATGGCAAAAATATAAAAATGATTTTCTGTACTCAAATCACCCTAAAATGACATTTCCTAAAGTCCCAGCATGAATTTCTGTATAAATTCTATATATTTTGGGTTTGAAGTTTAAATATATCTATATATGTTGAACGAAATTTTGACGCGAACAGAATCACCGAATAGTTTAAAAACAAGTCATGCGATTTGAACAAACCCTGGAAGTTACAATAACAAATATTGTGGATAATGTATGATTGAAACAAGTCTAAGTAATTGATTTGACATGTTTTTTAACGTTTCCAGAGAACAGAGTGACAACTATTGTGAAATTTTAGCGCTCTAACCTGACCCACGCGGGTCAAGTTAGGAAAACACCATTTTATTCTTTATATGGAGA